GATGGGTGGGCATCTCGCGCCATAGATGGCGCCGATGTCGCACCTGTCTGGTGTTGGCGTGGATTACGGGGGGCAACGTGTATACAGGGGTGCATCGAAAAATAGCGGATCGATGGACCGACGGTATATATCGTTAAATCGTATATAGCAAGGCTCGTGACCTAAATAGCGTTGGGTGGCTCCTCTGGTCGGTCGGTCGGTCGGTCGAATGTCTCATAACCTTTACGATGTTACTGTTATTATTTATACAGATGATACCGTTCAAAATGAAAAATCGTTAATGGATATTTTATGAAAACATATAGTATATATAACAATAAGGTTGATTGGTGTGTGTGTGTGTGCCAGTTTTGAATACCCCGCTTGAACAAACTTGCAACAAGAAATTCCCGACAATATTATTTCGCAAACCAGAGGTATTTTCAATAAAACTACATATCAGGGAGTACTTTAGATGTTGATACTAATCGACTCAAATCATTGTTCGACAACTGATTTGGTTCATGACAGACAAAGAATCAAATTATGTATTTCACGGTTCAGTTCTGGTTGTTTTTTAATTTTTTCCCTAAAACTTCAGGTAACCCAGGAAATATGTCTCTACCGTCCTCTGTTCACACACATCAGTAAAATCGTAGAAACTTCTATATATGACATATTATTATAAAAGGTATAGGACCGTCCTGCGTTTGATTGAAAAAAATAGCATTGATTCGAGCCCTATCGGGTATATCAATTGAAAAATTATCAAGAAATTTAATGGTAGGGAATGATGCTGAGAAATAGTTGTTTGGAGGGACACAATGGTAATCAAGTCACCGTTTGTTGATTGGAAAATATGTTGTAAGTGTATTGACGTAATTCTGTAGGAACATAATCGACAAGAAGTTCAGGCTGAGATGGGATAATCATTTCGTTTAAGTTCTAGTTTCCCATATAAACATATCATGTGCAATATATAATCGGTAATTTGAAAAACTTGGAGCCAATAGCTTAAAAACATAAAATCTGAATAATATCACACAAATTTTGAGGATCGGCTGCTTTACGAGTTGTAGATCTTATAGTTGTTGTTGTTTTTGGTTTTGCTGATGCGGTGGTAGACGTTGGGATTGAATCATATTTGTTTTTCTTCCATATAGATATTGTACTGCATTTATATCATCAAACATCTAGACCACGAATCTCATGCTGATAGAAGGCAAACATAATAGCATTCGGGAAGAAGCACTATGTGCTATGCCGAGGGAGCATGTCCAATTTCATGACACAACACCTGATAGAGATGATGTCAAAAATCTCAGATAGCAAATATTAAATTCGTTTACCCCCCAATCAAATCTTGACTGAAAAAAAAATTAGGCAGCAAAATATACAATAATCATACACGATTTACTATATTTCTAAATTTCTACTCTCATGTGCAACTTGTAATTGGAATTTCCGCCGGACAAACGATACCTCATGTCTTACTAAGAAATTATATAAAAAAATACTGCAAAACCGCAATGAATGTTGTTTTCTCGATAAAAAATGGTACTGAGAATATGATGCATATAATATGCAT